TGGATGGATGGATGGATGGATGGATGGATGGATGGATGGATAGACGGGTTGATGGGTGATGGGTTGATGGGTGGAAAGATGGATAGATACATGGATGGATGGATAGCTTGGTGGGTGGATGGATGGATGGATGGATGGATGGATGGATGGATGGATGAGTGGGTGGATGAATGGGTGGGTAGGTAGATGAGCCAATGGAAGCATGGGTGGGATTATGGGTGAGTGAGTAGGTGGTGTATGGATGGGTGAATAGGTGGTAGATGGAGGAAGGCTGTGGCTATAGGTCTTGTGGGTGGTTGGATTTATGGGTGGGTGGGTGGATGGGTGGGGGGACAGGGTTGAGAAGAGCCCTGGGCTCACAGTGAGTTACTTTAGACACTGTCTTTCTGAGTTGGTGTGTGAACTCTGTTGAACTCCACTTACTGAGGTGCCCTTTCCCTTCTCAGGCCGATCCCGGCCCCCCTGGTGAGCCAGGCCCTCGGGGGCAAAAAGGAGCCCCGGGACCGGAGGTAGGTCTGTCCGTTGGTGAAAGGACATCACACCCGGCAGCTGTGTGGCGGGCGAGCGGCCCTGCAGCCCCGAGTCAGGTTGCACCCAGGCCCCACTCTGACAGTTCTCTCCTTGCTCCTCCAGGGTATGCCTGGCCCCCCCGGGGACCCTGGTCTCACGGTAGGTGTCACATCCAGGATGGCATCAGCATGCTGCTTTGGCAGCTCCCTCCTGCCTTCTAAACTCCAGAAGGCTGGATGCAGGACGTAGTGGCTAGCTCTGCGGGTGCAGGGGGATCTGCCCTGGTGCAAGGGCGAGGTCAGTAGGTGTAGTGGCAAGGTCAGCAGGTGCAGGGGACCTCAGGCAGTAAAGGGGCGAGCCCAGCAGGTGGAGGGGGAGCTCAGCATGTGCAGGGGGATCTCCACAGATGTAGGTCAGCGGGTGCAGGAGTAAGGTCAGTGGGTGCAGGGGCCAGGTCAGCGGGTGCAGGGCATTGCTAGCCTTCCTCCCACACACTACACTCTGCTTGCCAACCCCTCTGCTGCGCCATGAACTCCCCATTCAGCAATGCCTTTCTGAGGGATGCCATCCCAGCTGTGTACTCCCAGAGCCTGGGACACAGGAGGCCCGGCCCCTGGGCTGACCTCTGCCTCCTGTTGCAGGAGTGTGACGTCATGACCTACGTGAGGGAGACATGCGGGTGCTGTGGTAAGTCTCCACCTGCTGTCACCCCCAGGAAGCCTTCCCACTGTGGTGCCCCGGGAAGCCCAGGTTCAGAGTCTGCCCACCAGTGACTCCCTGGATAAGGAGGAGAAGGAGGCAGTGTGCTCCCAGGGTGGCAGGCCCTCTGTCCCAAGTTCCCATCTCCTCTGGCCTCCTCCACACACAGCCCCTGCCGCCGGGGAATAGGGGAGTGTCCTTCCTGCCCTCGGTAGTAAGCACGCCCCACCCAGACTGACCCCCACCTGCCGGCCGCCCGTCCACACACAGACTGTGAGAAGCGGTGCGGTGCCCTGGACGTGGTGTTCGTTATCGACAGCTCCGAGAGCATCGGCTACACCAACTTCACGCTGGAGAAGAACTTCGTCATTAATATGGTCAACAGGCTGGGCGCCATCGCCAAAGACCCCAAGTCGGAGACAGGTGGGAGGCCATCCACTGCAGGGGTGGGGTGGCGGGGCGGTGGGAGGGCCTGGGCTTTGGCACTTAGGAAGACCCCCAAGGGGCCTGGGTCACCGGGAGATAGAACAACATAAACTCAAAGCAGCGACCACCTAATGCAAGGGTCTGGTGCTTGGCTGGGCACCCTGGAAAAAGCCACTCAGGGGTGCTGAGTCTGTGGGGCCGGGGCAGCACCGACCAGGCTCCTCTCTGCGACCTGCAGGCACACGTGTGGGCGTGGTGCAGTACAGCCACGAGGGCACCTTCGAGGCCATCCAGTTGGACGACAAGCGCATCAACTCGCTGTCCAGTTTCAAGGAGGCCGTCAAGAACCTAGAGTGGATTGCCGGCGGCACCTGGACGCCCTCGGCCCTCAAGTTCACCTACAACAAGCTCATCAAGGAGAGCCGGCGGCAGAAGACGCGCGTGTTCGCCGTGGTCATCACGGACGGGCGCCACGACCCTCGGGACGACGACCTGAACCTGCTGGCGCTGTGCAGGAACGATGACGTCACTGTCACGGCCATTGGCATCGGCGACATGTTCAACGAGCAGCATGAGAGCGAGAACCTCAACTCCATTGCCTGCCACAACCCCCGGCAGGTGCGCAACATGACGCTCTTCTCCGAGCTGGTGGCTGAGCGGTTCATCGACGACATGGAGGACATCCTGTGCCCGGGTGAGGGCCTCTGGCCACTAGGAGCGATGGGGATGGGCGGAGGAGACAGGGTCTCCATCTCCACCTCCTGGAGCCACTGCCACCAGGTGGGCCCAGTGGGTGCTCTGGAGAGCAGTTCAGGAGGCAAGGTGCCTAGTTCAGGGCCTCGGTTCTGGGGGGAGGGCCTTGTGCGCCGATCTCCCCATCCCTCTTCCTCTCCCGGTGTTTGACTCAGCTTGCTCCCGGTTTGGATGGCTCGGTGATTGGTTGGATAGGTGTAAGGATCCATCCCACTCAGGGGTGAATGACCTCACTGCATAACTAAAGAAATTAAAAAAAAAAACATTTCCAAAGAGGATTGCGCCCGCAGGTACACAGCCCAGGAATCCCACGCAACTGGGGGAGAGAGGGTCTACAGTTCGATTCAGGGCGAGTGGCCAGGCCTCCTGTCCCTGGCCATGGGGTCACCCCTGGGGTCACACCATGCTCCTCTGTGTGAAGGGAGGAAAGGGCGCGCACTGGGCCCACTGGGGCCACCGATGTGGGCAGAAGCCAGTCTCACCCAGAGGCCCATGTCTGAATGTCTTGGTGCTCCCCAAGGACCCTCCAAGTGTAGGGGAGATGCTTCTGAGAACAGACGTTTATTGTCTCACCATTTGGGGACCTGTAAATCCATGGCCAGGGTGTTGGCTGTCCAGTGGACACCTTCTGGCAGCTCCGGGCAGGCAGGGTGGCCCTGTGCTGTTCCCCTGCCTCTGGCAGAAGGATCTCTGATCTGGGGCACTCCTTTGCTGCGGGGTGCTGGGTCCTCGTGTGATATGCCGCCCCCCCCCCCCCCCCCCCCCCCCCCGCCCCGCTGTGTGTGACTGTCTCCTTGTCTGCCCTCCTCTTTAACAAAACACCAGTCACATAGGGTAAGTACTCGCTGTACTTCACAGCCTCTCCCCAAGTGAGACCCCATTCACAGGGGGCAAGACTGGCATGTATAGTTTTATAGAGAGCCAGCCCCTGCTTTTAGGACTAAGGGTCAACACCACATGGGACACAGCGGAGACTGACCAGGCCCCTTGGCCTGTCTTCTTCTTTTGCAGACCCCCAGATTGTCTGCCCTGAACTTCCCTGCCAAACAGGTAATACGGAGAGCCTGGCCGCCCCCACCCCACCCCCCATCCCCATTTGACAGCATGGATGCAGATGAGAAACCCAGGAGGGAGCGGAGGGACCTATGCTGGGAACCCTGGGCAGTGCTGGCTGGGGGGCTTCTCTTTAGTGAGGCAGCACTGAAATTCACATCACAGGCTACATGGGTGGTGTCACCCCATGACCCAGAGCACAGCCTTGGCCTTGGGCGCAGAAAGGAGAGGACTGGGGGGAGGGGGCAGTGTCCGGGGCATGGGGTGGTGCCATGAGCCCCGGTGACCGGGGCGCTGGCCTCACTCATCTGGTTCAGGCAGCCCTGGGGCTGCCCTTGGCTCTCAGTCACTGGAGCCCAGGGCCTGGTTGTCCCAAACAGGGCCTGGTCTTGCCCACTGCCCAAAGGGACAGGCCGGGCAGGCCAGCAGTGGGGAAACTGGTCAGGGCCTGGCACCTCCTCAGGTGGCCCTCGGGCTGGGCAGTGCTGGGGCCTGTCTTGGGGAAGCGTGAACTCGTTAAACCAAATAGCCGATGCACAGTCCTCCAGGGGGCAAAGCTGCAGCCAGCCCGCAGCTGTAGGCTGAGTGCTGCTTCCTAACTGACCCGCCACTGCCCTGCTGCTGCGCATGGCCACTGCTGCTCGCCCGCCCTGGGGCAGGCGTTGGATCGAGGGAGCATGTCCCTGAGTTAGTGTACTTGGGGTAAGAGTGAGGGAGAACTGGGGTGCACAGCCTGGCAAGGAGTGTGAGGCCTGAGACGGGCGGGGCAGGATATGCGGGGCTGGTGAGGTGTCCTGAGACCGCTGAAGAGATGGGGGCTGGTCAGGTTTGGGCAGGCTGGTTAGGTGCCGGCTGGTGGTGAGTCAAGATAGCGGGCTGCTGGCAATGGATTGGGGCACTGATGTGACGGGGACCTAATAAGGTTGGGGGCTGATAATAGGTCAGGAGCCTGGCCAAGGATGAGGAAGGCCTGGTGAGGTGATGGGGACCCTGCGGAGGGGCTGGGGGCTACTGAGTCATCAGGGTGGCTGGAGACAGGTCAGGAGGTCCTGAGGGTCTGAGTAGCTGTCCAGTTGAGGAGCTCTGTGGCCACCCAGGCCTAAGGGAAAAGAGTAGTCATTGCTTATATGCTGGTTGGTTTCCATGGTGATGCTGTGCAGTGCCCAGGGCGGCGGGCAGAGAGTCACAGGAGATGGAAGCCCGAAGGCATCAGGAGCTAAGCCTGCCCACTCTGGGAAAACCCTGCCCCCACTCTCGGGACCCATGCCATAGACGTCAGCCTCCTTGCTGGGAGGTCGGTCAGGCCTGGGTTGCTGGAGCCAGCCCCTGGAGAGGGTCAGTGCCCGTGTCCATACCTGCATCCGCGTCTGCAGCCATGACCATGGCTTTGGCAGCTGTGCCATCATCCCTAACACACGGCTTCATCTCCGTATCTATGTCTGAGCCCAGACAGGCTGGGTGGCCCGGTGTGCATCTCTGTCTGCTTTGGGATATGAGGCCATGACTATATCATGTCGCTTAGCCCTCAAGACACATGTGTTGTGTGTATGGCCCAGAGTCAGCCCCTGAGCATATTTACAGGCTCTGAGGATGAGAAACGTGCATGTCTTTCCCAAAGCTGTACCCGGAGACCAGGCCCTGGAGTCAGAGAGGTATCGGGGTCGCCTGGAAGATGGTGGGACTCCTGATGGAGTCTCAACACCCAGCCCAGAGTTAGCCAGGGACAGTGCACATGGTGCCCTGGGGGTCAGTTCTCATGAAGACTGCCAGCCAGTGAGTCCACTTCAACTCATAATGACCCTTGAGGGCAGTGTAGAACTGCCTCTGTGAGGTTGCAAGACTAACTCTTTTCAGGCGTACAAAGCCTCATCTTTCTCTGGTAGAGAGGCTGGTGGGATGGAACTTCTGACCTTACTGAACAGCCCATCGCATAAGTCATTTTGAATCACCAGGACTCCATGACAAACAGCCAATACCCCTAAACACAGCTGTCAGTGTGTCGGCCATGGACACAGGGTTTGAGATCTGCACTTAGGGCCCAGGGCTGACCCTTGGGGGATGGGGAGAGGGGGTATGCTGGCTGCCTAGGGCCCATCCGTGGGTGGGCAGTACAAGGAGCTACAGTAGAGCCCAGGGTAGACTGCACAGTGCCCCTGGGTGCTGGCAGGGTGGGCTTGCTAATGGTCCAAGCAGGGAGAGACCAGATATAGTACACTTTGAGGGACCCTCCAGAGGGTCAGCCGAGGTTCAGCATCGGGTGGTGATTGGGACAGGAAGCCGTTTCCCCCAGCACTAGAGGAGCTGGCAGTGGCTTTCTCCGAGGGAGACTCAGGCAGGGTACAGGAATCATGGCAACTGAACCTGGTACTTCCTCAGGAGCCTCTGTCCACCTCCTCGACCCCACCCAGATAAAGGGAGCAGCCCTGTGGAGCCCTCTGCGCCTTTTCTGCCCTAAATTCCCTCCTAAGCTTACAGAGCGCCTTCTCCATGAACATCATTCGAGTTTCACAGTACATCAAGCATGGTGGCCAAAGAGGAGCAGGCAGGTAGATGGGGCTTTAGAGCGTGCTTTTGCAAGGGCTACGTCTGGTGTGTGTGGAGTTGCCACAGCCCTGACCTTGGGGCCAAACAGCCACATACCCAGAACCGTGTCCGAACCGCACCGGGACTCAGGCCAGACCCCAGGCTGGGCTGATTCTGTCAGAAGCGCCACGTTTGGTGTCTTCTGACCTCGCTTCTATCCCCAGCCCGCCTGGGCACTGCCCTCCTGTTGCTGTCTCCCCAAATGCCCCCTTCCCCATCTAGCTCTGGCCCCATACACTCCCTGGCTGCTGGGGGCGCTGCGTGTGCCCCCCTCCTTCCAGCTCACTTTTCCTGGCTGAGTCTAATCCTTGTTCTCTGCCAAGAGATGCTGCCCTGAGCACTCAGCCTGAGGAGGGCGGCCGGAGGCCGCTCACACACCCATGCCCTTAAACCCTTCTCTGGACGCTCCCTTGCAGATGGATGGCAGCCTAACGAGGCGCCCCAGGTCACCTTCCTCCGCACGGAAGAGGGGCCCGACACCACCTTCCCCCGGACCATCCCCCTGATCCAACAGTTGCTAAACACCACGGAGCTCACGCAGGACCCTGCTGGCTACTCCAGGCTGGTGGCCCTACTGGTCTACACTGCCGAGCGGGCCAAGTTCGCCACGGGGGGCGAGCGGCAGGACTGGATGGAATTGTTCATAGACACCTTTAAGCTGGTGCACAGGGACATCGTGGGGGACCCTGAGACTACACTGGCACTCTGCTGAAGCTGGGGCCACCCGCCCATGTGCAGAGATAGCCAAACTCACACACACACACACACACACACACACACACACACACACACACACATCATACTAGTGTCCTGTGGCTGCCCTAACACATTTCCCACACACAGGGTAGCTGACACAGAAAAACTCTCTCCCAGTCTGGAGACCAGAGGCCAAAGTCAGGGTATGGGCTGCCGGACCCCCTCTGAGGCTCTGGGGGAGGGTCCTTCCTTTTCCTTTCTAAGGTCTAGCTGCTTCACCCCAATTTCGGCTTCTCTCGTCACATGGTGTCCTCTTCTGCCTGTGCTATCTCCCTTTTAAAAGGACACTTGTCATTGTGCACAGGGTCCAAACTAAGACTCCAAGACCATTTCCCATCTCAAGAGTTTTAGCCATATCTGCAGCGTCCTCCTTTCTTGTGAGGTTCCAGTCACAGGTCTAAGAATGAGGCAGGCCTATCCGTCCAGACCCCTCCCCGAGTCTAGAAAACTGCCTTGTGTATAGGACGCAGGCAAGAGAAACAGTCTAAAATACCCGGCAATGTCCCCGCCCAGAATCTGATCCAGTCCCAGACACAGGCCCCCAGGGACACAGATGACCTGGCTGTGGCACTGCCCTTGACCTTCTGTGCTGGTTACATGCCTGTACAGTAGCTCAGGCTGTCTGTGAGGACAACCACAGCGGTTCATTCAGGTGAGGACCTGGGGACCCAGACTCTGTCCTCACACCCACAGCATCTGGATCTACTGGTGGGCGTGGCCAAGTTCAGGAGGATTAAAGCTCCACTCTGTCCTCCCTCCCACTTTCCGGGCCCACAAGGAGCCACCCAGAGACAGCACATCCCATTACTGGGCTCACCCTCCCTTCCCCAGAGAAGCCAGATTAAGTAAGATCCCTGGGCCAAAGTCATGCCCTCTCCTCACTGCATGTGGTAGACTGGCCAGAGAGAGTGTGGGGACCTCCCCATGGGGTCAGTCGCAGAAGAGACAGACACGCGAGACAACAAAGCCTAGCTTTAACTACAGCCTCTCTGGGTCCCCCTCCCAGCACCCCTCACACACCTCCACTGCCACCACTGCCTCCCTGCACCCAGCCTGTGTCATGTCAGCACATCTGGGGAAATGCCCACAGACCCAGGCCTCGCGCCCTGACTGGTGCCCGCAGCGACCATGGGGAAATGTTTCTCATGATGCTGGAACTTGGGAGCCCAGCAGTGCACGGAGAACTCGTGAGGCGGGGCAGTGTCTTAAGCCAGGCTCAGCCTTGTGATTGGAAAGTTGCTCTGGGTTGGCACCGCTACCTGAATAAGCTCATTAAAAAGTCCTGTCTGCACCAAGTGCTCCTCTGCCTGGCAAGCCGAGAAGGGTGCTCAGGGCACGTCCTCTGACGTGGTGAGCCGGTGTCAGCACTCCATAAAAGCAAACAGTCATGCAGATGTGGACGCTGGCACTGAAGCCCAGCAGGGACGGCTTGGCAAGGCTGCTCTGGGGCTGGACGTTGGCCAGTCCCTGGGTGGGTGGATTCAGCCCCTTTAAAAGCTAGGAGTAGGGACCAGGCGCATGGTGGGGTTTGATCAAGGCTAAGATGATGTCTAGAGGGTAGAAAGTGAGACTCTTGGCCTTGACGCAGGGTCTCTGCCCTCAGTTTGAGAACATGGCCCAGTGGGGGGGACTGAGGGGGCAGGGTAGCGGGCCCTGAGGAGCAGTGGTAAGGCCTGGGCCCTCCATTACTTTGGGAGGAGGGCCCAGCAGTATGTCATGGGTTCCACCAGGGGGCACATGTAGAGAGAATGCGTGCAGGGTATAGCCAGGAATCAACCAGACCAGGGCTACCCAAGATTCTGGGTTCCAGGTCACAGGGGGAGTCACCTGGGGGTCCCGAGTCCCAGGTCTCAGTGCAGGGAGTCAAAAATGGTTGTGGGGTGGGGTGAGGGCTATCTTAGGTTTGGTGAGTCATGATCTGAGGATCCTGGATGCTGGGTCTTGGCCTTAGTGGTGGTCTTGGGTGTCCACTCTTGATCACAGTGGGGCATCACCAGGGAACCTTGGGTGCCAGGTCTCAAGAGTAGATGTCACCTGGGATCTGGACCCTACCACTCCCCGGCCAAAACCTGGCCTTCTGAGAGCTTCATCTCTCCCCTGCTGCGAGCGGACCCGGGCCCCACCACCCCTCTCCCCACCCCCTCCAGAGCTGTACGTGGCCCAGTGCACACAGCGGCCGGTGGACATCGTCTTCCTGCTGGACGGTTCAGAGCGGCTGGGGGAACAGAACTTCTTCAAGGCCCGGCGCTTTGTGGAGGAGGTGTCCCGGCGACTGACGCTGGCGCGCCGGGACAATGACCCGCTCAATGCCCGCGTGGCGTTGCTGCAGTACGGCAGCCCGCAGGAGCAGCGGGTGATCTTCCCGCTGACCGCCAACCTGACCGTCATCCACGAGGCGCTGGAGAGCGCGCAGTACCTCAACTCCTTCTCGCACGTGGGCACGGGCATCGTGCACGCCATCAACTCCGTGGTGCGCAGCGCGCGCGGGGGCGCACGGCGCCACGCCGAGCTGGCCTTCGTGTTCCTCACCGACGGCGTCACGGGCAACGAGAGCCTCGAGGAGTCGGTGCACTCCATGCGCAAGCAGAACGTGGTGCCCACTGTGGTGGCCGTGGGCGGCGACGTGGACATGGACGTGCTCTCCAAGATCAGCCTGGGCGACACGTCGGCCATCTTCCGCGAGAAAGACTACGACAGCCTGGTACAGCCCAGCTTCTTTGACAGGTTCATCCGCTGGATCTGTTAGCCTGGTCCCCGGAACGTTCGCCCCGCACAGGGACACCCCCCACCCCCACGGCCTCCCACCTCCCGTCTATGGTGCTAAAGGTCCACACAGAGGAGGGCCGCGGGCCGCCGCCAGACCCAGCTTCTCTCCACACCGCGGTAGTGGGGCCTTGGAGCTCATGGGTCCACCCTGCACCCAGGGCTGTCACGCCCAGATCCCCCACACACACACTTACCCTGGGATCCCCCCGGTGAGAGACCCCCCTCCTCAATTCTGCCTACTCCCTTCACTGCCTCCAGACCCCAACCAAACCCCTCAAGCGCAGCCCTCCAGGGGCCCTTCCTCTCCCCAACAGTCCTCCTCCCCCTGGTCTAGGGCTGGTCAGAGTCTGGGCTCCCTGATCATCTCCTTAGTCCATCTGCCCTGGGAGCCTGCTCCTCTGGGCCCTGCCCATCCATCGTCACCTGTCCCCGGGGGCATCCTCGCATGCCCACGATTAGCCTGTGACAAGTCTGGTGCCTCCTGTTCATGCACACCCCTTTCAATAAAGGCTTTAGAACCACCCAACTCCCGGGCCCCCTGCTTCTCTCTCTCCATCAGCCCCTCTCCAGCCCAGGACACCCACCATGGGTCTTCAAGCCCCCAAATCCTCAGAGCCTCCTTGTCAACCGAGGCTGGGCCTTCTCGGCTTTCTGCTTGACCACCTTCTCTCAGGGGTGGGTACCACCTCCAGTGCATGTCCCGGACTGGACATCTAGTCACAAAATCCTCCCCTTCCAGTCAGCCTTAGGGCTGAGAACTCACTACTTGATCTCTCCCTCGTCTCCAAACTGAGTGCTACGGTGTCTTTAAGAACACCGGGGGGAAAAAAAGAAAACAATGATCTGTGTAAGGATTGGGGGAGGGGGGGATAGAAATAAGCATTAGTAACCTAGTTGCCTGGTGCTGTCTCTATCGCACACACGTGAGTGACTTTCAAGCACAGATCACTGTTCCCAACGGGTGTCCTCCTTAGCAGCAGCAGCCGTGCTGGGCATTTCCTGGTCTTGTCCACGTATCTTCGTGGGATGTTTGTCTTCCCTGTGTGAGTATGTCAGTGTTGTGTCTGCTTTTAATAAGGCCCCACTCAGTTAGGTTTAAAACCCAACCTCTTCTGCCTCCGCCTCCTCCTCCTCCTCCTCCTCCTCCTTCTCCTCCTCCTCCTCCTCCAGTGTGTCCTCATTAGCATAACAAAAGATAAAGCTCTATCTCCAAATAAGGTCACCTTGACACTGTTCAGAGGGTGGTTCATATGTGACTGTACACAGCCCCAAGGTACACCCTTCTGGCGCTTAGCTAGCTGTGGCTGTAAGCCCTTGCCCCACTCCCTACCCACACCAACTTCCTGTCCCCTGTGAGCCACTGGGCCCTGAAGTGGTGTGCTTGCCCAGGCAGCCTCACACATGCCAGGGCAGATGGGGCCCCAGAGGACCTCTGACTGAGGCGTCCCTTCACTCGGGTTCTATCCCTGACAACTGCACGGGGGATGCTGTGGAGCGTGGTGGGGCCTGGCCCCGTGAAGCACTGAGAAAGGTGCAGATCCCACCCTCAGCCCAGAAAGATTCCCACCTCGTCACGTGTCTCCTGCCATCCTCATCTCCTCAGCTGGTGGTGACAGCCCTCCCCCCTTGCCCAAGCCCCTTCTCGGCAGCCAATCAGTCATCGCCATAGCCATGCTCACAACTACACCAAACCCACTGCACATCTGAGTCTCTTCCTGGGAGGTCCTGTTGAAGCTGGGCTCCCATGGTGCTCAGCGCTTCCACCAAACCTTTATTGGTATTTTCCTTTTAGCCAGAAAGGCCGCATGCTTCTCCTGGAAAGATGTAACAAAGGACCACACACAGGGAGGCTTCAAGCAACAGATGTTTATTGTCTCCAAGTTCTGGAGCTTGGAAGACCGAATTACGGATGGGCAGGGTTGCCTTGCAGAGGGAAGGAATGGGATGGGGCTACTTCCTTTCCTCTTCCAGTTCCAGGTGGCCCCAGCCTTCCTTGACTTTGGGCAACATCCCTCCATCTTCACATGGTAGTCTTCTTCCATACATCTCCAGGACACCCCGTCGATGGGAGTAGGGTGTATGCACCCTGTATGATGTCATGCTATTTCCAAATAAGTGCACTTCATAGTCACAGGGATTAGACGTCAACGTGTCTTTTTTGGATGACACAATTCAACCCCGTGACAGACTCTCTCCATTTCCAATGACCAGTCAGAGGGTGGAGGATGTGGAAGGTAAGAGCTGGCGTGAGGCTGAGTCCAGCTGCCGGTTGGAGCCTGGGGATGGTCTGATCCGAGCTGCAGGGTGCACGTGGGGGCTGCAAGGACAGGATGGACTCTAAGCAGGAGCCAGAGTCAGGGGGCTCACAGGACTGAATCCCATGAGCTGAAAAGCTAGAATGGAGAGTGTCTGCAGAAGAGGTGGAATCTGAATTCCAGCTTCCAACTATGGCTCCCCACAAGCCCCCAGAAGCCTCTCCAGACCCCTCCTGGCCTTGGACATGTGCCCAAACCTGGGCTTAAGGTCACAACACCCCAGACCCAACATCAGCTGTGGCTGCTGAGCTGCTTGGACACTTGGCAAGCGTAGCTCTTGACACGGAATGGTCCCAGCCATAGGCATGGGGCTGGGTCACCCTGGAACACCACGTGGTCTCTCCCTCTCTGCCGGCCCACCAGGCAGAGAGTGGGGTTTCAGCCCCAATGTGCCCTACACCCACCTGCTCCTTGACGTGGTCCACCTCTGGGCCCACAAAAGGGGGAGGGAACTCGGCTCAATCCCACGCTCCCAGAGACAGGTCTCTGCCCTGCACTCCCCACCCGACATCCAAAAGGCTCATCTTCCTTCCCCGGAGTTCCAGGGCCTGTCACCTACCTGCTGGCCTCAGTGGCTAGGCCCCTGTGGGCAATGCTGGGCCTACTGTGGTCCTTTAGGGGGAGTCTGAGTCCCGGCATCTCCAGCTGTCTGACCCTGGTGGTCCGCTTGAGGACCGTGACCCTGGCTGGGTGGCCCCTCAGGCGGGGTGGGGTTGGATGTGGGCTGCCCCAGCTCTCGAGTTCTAAGATACGGCGGCGCCGGGGGGCAGATTTGGATGATGCGGGGTGGTAATCCTATTGAGAAGACAGGGAAAGTAAGAAACCAGTAGGCACTTGCTCCTTCTCTGACAGGTGAGCAGTCAGCAGCTACGTAGTCTACGGGACGCTCTAGAAGTGGCAGTGTCTCTGTGACAGGCATGACAGCCGAAACCCACTGGGGAGACTCCTTCAGAGTGTGTGGCAGCAAAGGGGCCAAAGGGCAAAGCTCTCCGACCAAGGGAAGGGGCACATCCTCTCTGTAGGAGTCGCTCAGCCCCTGGTGTCTTAGCTTTAAGACCAGAGGGCCTCCCTAACCTAGAGATGTCCCCAAGTTCTGGAGCCTCCTCCCTGCTACAGATTGCATGGGATGTCCCCCCAAAATGTGTATATGTTGGGATGCTAGCTTCTATGCCTATGGGCACAGCCTTGCTTCTCTCGGTGACATTCATGAGGTCCTAGCTGTAGGGTGTTTCCTAACGTGAATCACGTCTTAGTTATGAAGACAGACGACTGGACAGAGAGACAAACGAAGGGCGACCGGCGCCGTGTGAAGAGTTCCGAGGGACAGGGCTTCAAAAGGAAGGAAGGCGGGAAATATCCCCCAAGGAAATGAACGAGGGTCAGGGGCAAAGGAGACTCAGCAATTAAATTAGTTTCAGAGTGATCAGCCTCCTTAATAGTCAAATGTGCTGAAAGATATTCTTGTAGCATCTGATAGCTACCTGAGCCCAAGCACTGAGGTCCTCTGAGAATGAGGAGAACCACCCACCCCATACAAGGCTGGGCAGTGTCCCTCTCCAAGTCCATGGAGGGAATTCTGCTCACCAGACCCCGGCCCCGCCCCCACCTCATCCCAGCATGCCTGAATGCATACCTGTCCTCTGCACTGTACAATGTGACTTTCTCCTAAAGGAGTCCTGGGCAGGAAGTCACACAGACAGGAAGCTGGGGCACAGTGAAGTTGGGGAAGTGGAGGGGACACTTGCCAGGGGCCAGGTGTGGCCCCTCAGCAAAGCCCCTGGGCCAGATGAGCCCAAGGCTCTGGCACCTCCACTTGTGAGTGCCTCCACCAGGTAGGCAGGGGGCAGAGGACCAAAGTTCAGTGCCCTCCCTCTCCCCTGGCAGGTACATGCCCAGCGTGAGGGCCAGGAGAGGGTCTACTTCCTTCTGATGGAAAGGAGTGAATGGAGTCGCTCCCAGAGCCCTCTTCTGTTCAAGTCCAAGTCTGGGCAGGTCTCATCTCACTTTATAATGAGAACCAGCAGCCCAGGCCACGCCCCGCCCGCCACCCTAAGGTCTCAGGGGAGCGGCTCCCCAACAGTGAGGATAAGAAGGTAAGAAAGTGACTCATGGGAAGGTAAGGGCTCCAAAGGGCAAGACAGAAAGCCACAAGAACATAGAAGGGGTGTCAACCATGCTTACAGATATTCGGGTCATAAGGAAAAATTAAACTACCCAGACAAACCCAAGATTAGAGCCCAACCCGGGTACTGTTGAGTCAACCCGGACTCATGGTGCCCCCATGTGCATCAGAATAGAACTGGGATCCGTGGGGTTTTCGATGGCTGGCTTTCTGGAAGTAGATCACCAGCCCTGTATTCAGAGGCACCTCTGCATGGACTGGAACCACCCACCCTCCCTGTAGCAACCAAGGGTGTTCCTTGTTAAGGCCAACAGAAACTCTGTGCTTAAGGGAAGCCGGAAGAAAATGTCTCTACACTTCACAACATCTTTAGTGGGGGGGCCACCCCCATGCCTAGAGCCAGTGTGGGCCCACTGCTGGTTAGCACAGTTGGAAGAGGAAGCCAGGCCTGCTTCCTAGGCTGGGGTCAGCTGAGGGTACTTTGCGCCCATTCTGATTCATGGTGAGCCCCTGCGTGTCTGAGTAGAACTGGGTTCCACG